TGGACACACCTCTCGACTCTACAGAGAAGCCACTCAGCAAAGATTGTGAGGCTATCCACGCCGAATGTAAGTCAAGTCTCTGCTCTCATAGTCAACGACTAAGATGGCTAACCATTTCTACGCAGATGACGCCGCGGCAGTGCATGGCATGCCCATCAGCCTGCAGTTGGTTGCTCGGCGGTTAGAGGAGGAGAAGGCGATAGCCATGGTGAAACATGTTCTTAGCGTGATCTGAGACTACATAGCAAGCCACGAATAGATGTAATTCTAGGTGTCAGGAATTGTATGGGATCTAAGTTGTGGTCCGCGTGAAACCAAGAGGTCTTCTTCTTTCGAGAAGAATAACCTTTCCCTCTATCATGATACACCTTCTAACGTTAAATTATCATCCGTGCACCCATGCCATTTTGATCTTCAACCGTCTCCGACAGCTCTTATTTCACCGCGTAGCTGACCTTTGACTTTCCTTTACTCCTCGAAATCTTCTTTACGACAGTCTCCCCACACAAATCCGTCGTGTCAACGTGCGTACCGCCACAAGGGTACACCTCGGCGCCTACAATCTCCACAACGCGAAACTTCTCCCCGGGCGGCGCCAGACTCCGGTCCGGAATCAGCCTCTCGAGCCCCCGCGCCCGGAAATCATCCTCATCCCAGAAATCAACCTTTACCGGCATCTTGGCTGCCAAGAACTCATCCACCTTGCCCTGGATCGGCTCCTTCCACTTCCCGTCAATGAGCCCCTGGAACTCGCATGATGCCGAGTCCGGAAAATGCGACGCCTTGAGCTCGTCGAAGCCCTCGACTTCCTTCTCGAGGAGGTGCCGTACCGCTGCGCCGAGGACGTGTCCTGCTGTGTGGAGGCGGGAGTACAGCAGTCTCTTCTCGACGTCGATGGCCTGCTCTACCTCGTCGCCCTCTTTGAATATCGCGCCGCCGATGAAGCGTCCGAAGTGCAGTACCTGGCCGTCGCGTACGGCATCCATACGGACGGAGTTGACGGCGAAGGAAGAGCATGCGGTGGCGGTCATGGAGCCGATGTCGGAGGGCTGGCCGCCGCCTTGGGGGTGGAAGATTGTTTGTTCCGTCACGACTACGTGATCTTGGTCGCTCCCATCTTTGAAGAGTCCGCGGTTGGCTTCTTCGAGGTCTGCAAAGGGGCGGATGGCGGTGACGATGGTCTTGAGGGTCGTGAGTTTTGCGTTGTGCTGGAAGGCCAGGTATGTCCTGGCTGCTGCTGTCGATGCCATTGTTGTGTCGGTGTCTGTATTTGTGTATGAGCCCTTTCTGTTCCGAAGGCGATCTAGCAATGAGACGGTATGAGACGATTTCAACGCCTGGACAAGCGCCTTTGATAGCGCTATAAGATTGGTGAGTAGTTGCAATGTCTCTTCTTCTTGACTGTTCTAAGGGGTTCTACAGCCGGCGGGTTGACATGAAGGGCGCGCGAGTGATGATGAAATGTGGTCCGAAAGGCACTTTGGTAACATCAGATGGGGCCTCGGAGCGGCGCGTGCGCGCTCTTCCAAAGGAATTGACAGGGGTTGACTTTTCCATCCTCCTAAGATGGGATTTAAGAACCGCCGTCCGCTTTACCTATCTTAGAATTTGAGTCAGGTTGTCAACTAATTGTAGATCAAGTAGAACCAACACAGGCTTTGCTGATGAGAACTGGATGAGCAATTCGGGCATATACTGTGCTCATACTCCAGAATGGCCACCGCGTCGTCATTTCATCGTACATTTTCGGCGGCCGCCGCATCCGCGCAATAAGACGCTAGAGGTAGTGACAGAGGGTTTAAGTCGATCATGACGCCGACTACTAATAACAACACCCTTGGCGAAGAGTCCGACATCGATAGATTATTATATTGACCGCATTCGCGACATGCTCAACAAGTGAGCCAATATCATCTCGGTTGAACCTCACGCGGACGCCGGCCTTGAGTTTGTACGAGCATTCAACAAAATACAACGGCAAACCCACCGTAGTACTGGCTCCAGTAAAAGCAGAAGAGAGAACGCCGGTAACATGGGCGCGGTGGATATCAATCCCGGAGGAAGACCAGAGATTTTGCTAAAGCGCCCCGTCCCCTCTTGTTGGAAATCGCGGATTTTGGACAAGTCTCCATGCTCACAGCCCCGTTGCCAAGGAGAAAAGAGGAAACTTCGAGCATTCAATGCCTTGAGTCCGATCTAACGCTACAGGGTTGCTCAAACCCTTTCCAAAAGCGGGCACTAATCACTTTTGTTGGTGGATGTGACACAGCTGACCTGGCTGTTGTGTCCAATTGCCGGTATTGGCCTCGCTGATAGCAGCTACTGGCATGTTCTCAGTCAGCTCGAGCTCCTCCTCGATTATCACCGGCTTCACATTTCCATGGAATGACCCATGATCTGCCATCCGGCCAGAATCAATCGGGAAGCAGATCATGATGGCCATACGTTGTTGTTCGAGTCAAGAATCATCGTGGAGGCCGAGACAGGCTTCTTCAAAATTCATGACCCCCTCCGGATGAAGAGAACGACATGCTCCGCTGATAGGCCTATGTAAGTGCTTCCAAATTTCACATCATCGAATCGCTTCACGCCCGAGTGACGTATGATTCGAATTAGCGGAAAGGCGCGGGCTTGGCTATGCGAGCATAATCGAAAGAGGAAATCGGATCTCAAACTACATGTATGTCTCAGCATGCGCAACTCATAACAAGATCAGTTAATGCTTCCGGCGCTGGGAGTGGTCATGTGTTTCCGTTCCACAACACATGTGGCCAACTTGTCATCGGCACGGGCCGAGTACCACATTTGTTCCACCACCCAGGATGTGGCTCATGAACTAAGGGACGAACGCCTTGAGTACATATACTGCAGATGATACCCTGGCATATTATTCACCACTGTTGCCAGGAATCTCACAAACACATTTACCGCAAGAAAACGACCCATAAAATGTCACAAGCTAAACGGGCAGTACAATCAGATAAAGGTAATGTTGTCTTCCCAAGCATCAAGCCTCACCCTCGTTGACCTCTCTTAAGTCTGGGCTAGTCTCATCACAAATATGTGTTACCTCCCCGGGCTTCTGACCTTACATCATTCCCTTCTGGCCTCGAATACAAAGTATCCCTTCATCGCCCTTTACACAGACTGCTTTCCCGAGGAGGGCCGCGCCGCCATTGCTGCCAGAGGGATACCCCTCCATCGGGTTTCACGACTAAGCCCATCGAATACAAGAGACTACTCAAGCGAGCCACGTTTCGCAGACACGTGGACCAAACTGACCGTCTTCTCTCTCACCGCATACAACCGAGTCGTCCTCTTAGACTGCGACATGCTCGTGCGCAAGAACATGGACGAGCTGATGCTGCTGCCCTTGAATCCTGCTGACACCACCATCACTACCGGCACAAAGGTCTTCGCTGCCGGTCACGCGTGCACCTGCAATCCTCTCAAGAAGCCTCACTACCCGACGAGCTGGATCCCGGCCAACTGTCCGTTCACATCTCACCATGCCGACCCCGATGCAGCCCAGACCAATGGCAAGGATCTCACTCAGCAGCCACTTGGGCTCCTGAACAGCGGTCTTCTCGTCGTGGTCCCCTCCAAAGGCCAGTACGATGCGATCGTAGACTGCGTCAAGACCGCACCTGCAGAGTGGGTATTCCCTGACCAGGACCTTCTCGCCAATCTGTTCCGTGGACGATGGGTCGGTTTGCCGTACGTTTACAACGCACTGAAGACGCTGAGATGGAGCGGCGTGCACCATGCTATTTGGAGGGATGAGGAGGTCAAGAACATTCACTACATCCTTAGCCCTAAACCCTGGGCTGATCGTGAAGGCGATACATCGGATCACGACGAGTCTCATCATTGGTGGTGGGCGGCGAACAGGAAACGCAGGGCACGGGAGGAAGCCAGTGGGATTGCTGATGAATATTGAAACATATAATGGAATGATTGATTGGCATTATTGCCCAGGCCATTGATCACAGGTCGTCAATCTAGCTATTTACAAAATCTACACGCCACGGATGGTGGTATGCGACCAGATACTGAGGCACCCCAAACCCAGATGAGGGACTGACAATATGTGAAGATACTGGTAGACTAGTTAGTGGATGGCATCTGATTGTGTTCAAAGGACAAAATCGTGTAAAGTAGCCTTGGTAAACAAACGGTGCATCAGGTGTCAGTTTTTGTTTGTTGAGTGAGCCAACGTGCGGTGGTCCTAAGTGTTTATTCATTCTACGCTTTAGTGAAGGATTTATATTTCTCTTGGTAATTTCCGAGAGGAAGAGCGTGCATCAGGATATATTGCCTTACTTCTTATAAGGCTTTTGAGAACGTCGTTTTGCCAAGGCGCGCAACGGGTGTTTGGGTTTAAATGAGATCTCTAAAGTAATTAGGTACTTGCTCCTGGCCGTCCTGATTACGGGTTTAAGAACTACTCCCAGTACTTAGGTAGGTACTAATGCTCCTGGTCGCGAAATGGTCACAATTGTATAAAGTGATCTTCTGTGTAGAATCGTCATGGCCCATGCCAAACCATATCATGCCTCTGTAAGCTTATAGATCTAAGCCATGGCTCTCGTCTGCTCATTCTGCTATTTTTATCGGACCCATTGATACTCTAGTTGTGGCTACCTGCTTTATTGCGGCCGGATCCCGCTCCGCCATTGCTGAATACAGCCAAGTTTGCCAATGTCAGATGCAGTCAAGCAAGGCCAGTGCCTTAATCTCGGTGCGTCCTTGCGTTGGATGTCAACTGGGGCGTGTGCATGTATCCATTCCATATGCTGCCTGACAGCCTAAACTGAGTGAAAGATTCGGTTGCCCAGAGCTGAGCCACAGGCAGGGGGGCCTCGTGCTGCGATATCGCCTCTCGCAGAAGACCCTACCTAGGTAGGTTGTAGAGTCTCGACTCTGGAGGAACGGAGAATTCACAGCAGGTCTAGAACTATCATTAGGGCGGAATCATCCACCAGTAACACAGTCCTTTTCTGCACCAAGTCATCCTCCTCTGTCAGCAAGCATTTTGCGCGGCCCAACACACTGTCTACCACTACCATGGCGGCGACGTTTCACCCATTTCTGTGCCTCGCCGGCAAGCCCCGCGCTCGCATCTGGGAGCTAAACCGTAGAGCCTCGCATCGTCGAGGTGCGTGTTCTCTATCATCGACCAAGCTCTACCAATGTCGAGGGGATCGAGCCAAGTCTCATATGGCCACCGCAGGAGCGCTACTTGTGCTCGCCTACCCCCAGCCCCAGCCCAGCTGCATACTTGTCGCGAGGGCCATGGACATCCCAATACATGCCCCGATGCTGTATATCGATTGGAGAAGGCCTTTTCCGAGCTCACTACGACACTTCATCCCGGGCCCGACCCTGCGTCCGAGGGTGGCTCGCGGCAGGAGCGCTATGTCTGATTCAACTTCGATGATGATATCTTCTCCATTGGGAAGATGAATTTGCACGAATTCTAGACTATTGCGTACCAGGTTCGCCGGCTGCGGCTCCCGCGGGTGGACCGCTGAAGTACTCTTTCCCGTACAGAGGCGTCATCAATTAGGAGGCGGTTTTGGAATATTATCGTACTTTACTTAATCTGTCCAGAAGGTATGAGATAGAGTAGCCTGTTTAACAACTGAGAATATCGATTTTCGTTGTGGTCTTGAGAGTGTATATTTTGTTGCGACAGAAGAGATGGGCGAGATGATGATGAGCAGTGTCAACCTAGATGCTATGGTGAAGAGAGAGTACGAGGAGTTTTGTGGACCAGGAGAACAGGGTTGAATGAAGTTGAAAAAGGTGGTTAATAGTGCTGCTAGCTATTATCGTTGTAGCAATTGATGATCGCAACTGAAAAGGCTTGCGCATCAGTAAATAGAGAAAGCTTCTGAACAGTGAACTTCAGTTGGCGCTCCTGATGAAATTTGTAACGTATGCCTTCCACCAGAGGCAGACATAATATCTGTGAATCCCCATTCCATCCTCTCTGTACATGGCATTTTTGTATCAAGACCGGAGAACCCATGTGATTTTCACTTGCCGCCGTCGCATT